GGCTTTATGTACACAGTGTCCAAAATTATTGTTCACGAACACTGGGATAGGGATAAAAACATAAACGATATCGCCTTATATAAGACAGAGGTTCCCATCAAATACATTGTCGATGAGATGAGAGGCAGATATATAGTGAACAGTCTGTGTATTCCCGATAAAGACCACGATTTGCCGTTTGGAGCACTTATTGCCGGATGGGGTCAGACGGCCAAAGACGGCCGCACTTCCGATGTGATCAACAAAATATATGTCCCAATATTCCCGTTAGAGAACTGTCAGAAAAATTACATGAATTTGGGAACCATTGACGATGACATGACTTGTTTTGGCGGACAGGGAGGTAAGGACTCTTGTATGGTATGTATTGACAATTAATCATCACGTTTACTGTTAACAAATTTTCAATAATCAAACTGTGAAATGCAATATTAATGGTATTTTGTTATGATATTTGATTGTTAGGGCGATTCCGGCGGACCATTGGTGGAGAAGACAGAGCAGAGGGCATATGTGATAGGAGTGGTCTCGTGGGGTATTCCCTGCGCCGAGAAAACATTTCCCACAATATATACCAAAGTGACCAAATATATTGAATGGATCCAAACCAACATCAAATATAAATATTAATGACATTTCTATCTTGAATGTATTGTTGTGTTTGTTTTTTAAATTATGAAAATCATAATACAGTAGTCTTGCGATATAATTATAAGATTATTGTTTAAACATTTAAAAACCAAAACTCAATTTTCAATTATAATTAACGATATAATTCTGTACCGAAAACTTGATTTCAAAGCCAAAACTTATAGTAACTTAATTAAATAACTTAAAACAAAATATAGTAACAGACACTATAAGTTATGTCTTAACTCTAAAAATAGGTGTTTAAATGACGATTAAGCTCAAATAGTCACCTATATAATAAATACTGTTATTTAATGTTTTATAAAATGTTATCAATAATTATGTCGAGTGTGTTGTTTAACATTGTGTGCAATTTACCGGTATTACCACCCGATAGTACGACAAACATGTAATAAAACTTCAGTAGAAAATGCATACATTGATCACAATTACTATAATTAACAATATTTTAGTCTAAAGACAACTGACAGTAACATTAGTACAATTGTGGACAGCGGTGACGACGATGACAGTAAAGTGTGGCCCGTATTTGAGAAACTTGTGATCGCTTTTATCATAATATTGATTGTCATTATAATTGGTTACGTTGTAATCATAAGCCTAAGGAAGAAGAGCTCAACAACTCTGTCAGACAAAGGGCGGTTTCTGCCGGGTTACTTCTGGTTTCACTGGTTTAGCGACTAGGTTCTGTATGGCAGTAGGTCACATCTCTGGTAAGTCAACAGGTGGTTACTCGACTTCGGCCACCTGTCAGCCCTTGACTACAGGAAGGGGAAGGCAAACAGACAGCCAAGAAGTCCTATAAAAGTGGCTAAAGTTGTGGACAACAAGAAGAGTGAAAGTATTAAACAAACGCCTATTAATGCAAAAGTGGATAAACCGGTTAACTGATGTGGAAGGGGAAGGCAAACAGACAGCCAAGAAGTCCTATAAAAGTGGCTAAAGTTGTGGACAACAAGAAGAGTGAAAGTATTAAACAAACGCCTATTAATGCAAAAGTGGATAAACCGGTCGATAAAACCAAATGATTTTCTGCAATACTTTATAATAATACCGATCATTAGAGTTATAAATAAATTTTTCTTTAGTAAAAATTGCTTTTTCATTAAATACACTCAAAATATTAGTTGTTATAATAAATAAATTCTCAAAATAAATTAACCATTAATTGTCTTGATACCAGTAAAAATATATGAGAAAACAATTATTTGTAGTGAATTTGCAAAAATGTTTTATTTATTTATAAATTGAGACTAATATATACAATAAGGAAAGTGAAAAATATTGCATAAATAACTACTTTGTATCTCAATGAAGATTTATGAGATCTCACACCGCCTACCAGTCCATACCTGTCCTCCACATAATCAGTAAAAGTGTATATCAATTGAAACGCTTGAACCAAATGAAACAAAAAGTGACTTTTTATGTCAAGTTTACCCTTAAATGCCTGCGATATCGCCCCCATTGACGACCATATTTGTGATGTGTTTCATAAAATGCCAATTCATGTCTTGTATATTAATTTTACGGCATTTGTTTTGTTGGCGATTAAATAAACAACAGATTAGTCGCAAACATAACTAAATTGTGTTTTAAGCCGAGAATAATAGACACACGACTATCGGTATAGCCTTAGAGTCGTTTTACGTTAAATTCAGGGCAACACAAATACATTAGTTTTAAATCATCAAAAAATATATCATCACTTTATTAGACAAATAGTGAACACATAAAAAAATTTCACTAAAGTATATCTGTTTTAATCAATCAGTATATACTGTATGGATAAACATATGAGGAATTGGTTGAAAGATTTTCCAGAAACACCACTGAATTAATCATTAAATTTTGTTATCATTTGTTACAAAACTTTTTCGTATAATTCTTACAATTTTTGAAAAAATTCATAAATAAAGATTAGAGACAACAAAAAGCAACATTTGGTGCATAAAAACTTTGACAGATTATATGCAAAGGCAATGAATTACTGAAATAATCTTAACTTTAAAACAAGTGATAATAGACTAAAAATAAGATGTATTAATATTTTTAAGCGAAAAACACAAAAAAATTGATAATCACTTCAAATAAGCCATAAATGGGAGAATATTATCGTTTGTACAGAATTTAATACAAACTTTGTATGAATAATGACTGCATTTTTCGCACATTAAATATACGGAAAAATAGATAGAGATTCACTATCTGTTTGTGGCGTTCGTTACCCTCCCATAGGGTTTGTATGGATTGCCGATTATAACTATAGATAGCAATGGGAATCAAAATATGCAATGAAAGTATTGTATTGTTAGGCGAAAAAACAATTTGCATAATAATTGTTTCAACCAGTTTTCTAACGTATAGTGTATTTTGTTGATTATAATGTGATAGCACTTTTCGGGCACTTATTTTAGTTTTGTATTTATAAACATATAGTTTATTCATTTTGTTTGGAAAAGTTTTACTTTCTTTATTTTTAAGCGATTGAATGCTTTGTCTTTCAATAAAATATCCATTTATTATAATTATGTCATTAATTCAATCTAATTATAAATCATTTATAGAAGGATTCACTTAAAACTAATTAATTAAGTTAAACTAAAATAAAATTTGTGAATAAATTAACCTTTGTTAATAAAACATTTCACTACTGATGCTCAAGAAATTTATTTAATAAAAACAAAACTATTCAAAGTATTTTAGATACAACTTATTTTGCAAAAATATTTATACAACAAAAATAAAGTTACATAAAACTCTTCAACAAATTTTCTAAATATTTCTTTTATGATGTAAATGATGGTAAATATCGTATAATTTATTATATAAAATACAGTGAACTTTATTTTACTGTACACTATATATCGGTTATCCCTTCCTTACATATAATTCATTAGTCTCTATGTCTAAAGTGTTATGTATTTAATGCCTAAATATTTTAACGACTTTTGAAGCGGTTTTATCATACTTTTCGCATTAAAATGAATGGACGTATAAATAAATCTTTAAGAAAAAATATTGTTTGCAAAAAACACATTATCCGTAGGTTTATAAGGGGTTGGGTTTGGATTTACCAAACAATCGCTCACTTCATGTGAATTACATTAAAGACAGTTTGATATATAAAAGAGGTTTACATTGAATACAAAAAAATACACAGAAATGTGAGTTCAAAAACTTATTACATGTATTATATTGACAGGAAAATAATAGTTTAGTACAGTTGAACAACATTAATGGTAAACCTAAACAACAGTTAAAACTCGTTATTAGTCATTATTCGTTACGTGACTCTCTCTCTCATATTTTTTCGCGCCAATACTTTATTCAATTATGATGACACCATTCATATACTTTATTACTCACATTTATATTGTAAATACACCTAAATGTACCCATACATTACCGTATAATATCG